ACTAAAGCACAATGCATATCAACATCGCTGGCGATTTCCCGTTCATAAATCCTGATTTCTGTTTACGTATATATCTACCAGGTAAACTGAAAGTAAAGACACATAAGAGGAGCGAAAAACCTCAATCTAACAAGACAGCTTAAATCATACACTTCTCGACATTCAAATGGTTCAAATGGATGTGGATAGAATAGAAGCTTTCGTTTAACAGGCTTCTACGTCTAGTAGCATTGGGCCATCAGTACCTCTAGGCAGGAACCTAGGTGTATTAATGATATTAGAGAAAATAAAAATTATTAGATCATAGTAAGATACTGTTCTTAGTCCTTAAGAATAGACCAAGCTTCCTCTTAAAGGACGCCTGAGAAGTCTCATGGACTCGAGTTCCAGCATTTGACAACTCTTGAGGAATAGAAGTTGTGTTAGCAGTCCATTCTGCTGTGTTGTGTCTCCTGTTTCTGGGTGCTACTCCTTAGGTTTGCGTTGAAGCCAAATTAAATAGGCCTTTAAGAGGATGTCCAGAAGTGGTAAGGATACTGTAAGCTATTAGGTCACCTCTAAGAAGCCTGAAATCTAACAGGTAAAGGTTTAGTGATTGGAGACGCTCCTCATACCGACTATCTTCCGGGTATATCTTCGAACTCTTTTATTCCTGACTTCTAGTTCGACCGCTGGTAATCCTTCGGTCATATATTTTCATGGACAAAAGAGTTGTCAGTTACTGAATAGTTGCGATATTTTAAATACATAAGTTTCACTTACAAAATAGGCGAATGTATTTTCTAGCCAATTATCAACCTTCGAAAATGTTTCGTAACGCATTCGACATCTAGAATACAAAGCGAAAATATCAATCACTCACAGTCACGCAATTAGAAATCACCCAAAATTTTATAACACCAGGTTTAACGGAAATGTATAACAAAATGTCACACAGCATATGAAAAAACGTCTCATAACCCAAACTTCGGATCCAAAGCTACGTACTGATAAAACGAAACTGAAGGCCTATATAAGTCTTTTTATAGTACCCTTTATAAATATTTATACTCCTCTCTAATGAGTCAATTTCAGGTGTTGACACAAATACTACAGGTCGAGGATTCTGAGAGTTGATAGTCCAGTGATGGAATCTGGATCTCGCGAACAGTTTGTGCCATCTTAGCTTTTGGACCCACCTGTTATATTCTTTGAGTTGTCCTAATCCAGGAAAAAGATCTGACATCTCGTTTAGTACACGATGAACAGTCAAATTTCTACACTGCTATCGAATTTGGACGACACGAATAACTTTGCTGTAAGAGGTAAAGAATCTAGGAATGAAGTACAGGGACGGTAACGTGAAAACTGGGAAGCTATTCGTTTTACACTTACTAATATCAAAGGTATTGGATATTGAGTATGAACAAGCGGAATTTTGACCGTGTCTCGAAATGGCGGCATCTAAGGGTGCCAACACCTACAACCGTCAGAACTGGGAAGACTCTGTAAGTATCCCCTAGTGTAATACCTGCACACTAGATAAAGTAGTAGACATATTTTTAAAGTGCGTATAAAGTTTGGGAAGTTTTGACAACAAATTTCCTAGTCTCCAAAAATACGTATAAGTTACTTGTAAGATATTATGTATAGTTAAGTTTATACATTAACTAAGAATATGGTCCTCCTAACAACAAACTCGAGAAACACTAGGGTGTTGTTCTGTGGATGTGTCAATGTGCGATTATTACTTTCTTAGTAATATGCAATGAACTACAAGTCTATTTTAAAATCCTGTTTTCGGACAATTGTTATAAGACATTTATGATAACCGACGACGGAAAAAGACGGCTCACAACCGTATATGGATTAAACAATTTCTAAAATTGATTGCTAATTACTGTGTCCATGTGGCCTCTTATCAACTTCGCTCCGCATCTTAATTATGGCTTCCTCAGTCATTATAAATCAACTACACAGTCAAGTAAATATCAATCACCTAAGTCTTGGGTTCTTCTCCTCTAGAAGTGTTATCGTTTGCAAGGACTATTGGTCTTGCTGTTTTGTTAATGTTGCTTTACTTAGATAACCTAACATTCTTGAGAAGGTTTGGAAAGCATTCCTTATTACGAGATTACAATGTCTTTCTTAAACACCTGTTATCCAGACTTTGAACAGGTTATCGAATTTCAAACAAAATATTCATGATGCTCAGTCCAATAGAACTTAAGTATGGCTACTTCAACATAATACACTCGTTTGACCAGTTGATTCTGCTTATCATAAAGTGTATTTATTAATAGCCTTTATCGTTAGACGTTACTTACACCGTTCTAAACACAATAGACTAATACATCATGGACACGTAATCAGCCAATAACACTTCACATTTCGCTATAATATGCTGACACATTTCAAAGCTATTTGTTAGGACAAAAACCTTTACATTTATTTTCAATTATCAATAGGAATGTTTTTTTCTTGAGGCCTGTTAGTAACCACTAATAACGGTAGTTAGGCGTCTAATATCTCTTCCAAGTATTTTCCAACCATCAAAGTCTATTCAACCCAGAAATAAAAATAACAGGTTCATCCACTCTATTTTAATTTTTAAACTGCACATATTGCATACATTAGTACCCTAAGTGTCATTATACACTTTATGAGTTAAAATATAAGCCCCCAAATGCCCTGGTACGGCCGATAGTGGGGAGAGTCCACTCTCCCTCTCGAAATGCTCTCACATGACCACGCGTATATAGCATCTGCCAGGTAAGTCCTACTCACTGCCTTCTCGTGGTGGGGGTGTTGCTTACGAAAATGAGAGGACGAAAAGCGAATGTCCGGCGCTTTAACCGGGCCGGGGGACAGGGTGAGTCCATCTAGGGGAGTTGGAAAACCCTGATTCTAAACCAATGGTGCACATGGGCTCCAGTATCCTGAAGGAACAAATGGCGTATGAACCAATCGTTGGTCACCGGCTTCCATGGGACTGCATCTCCTTACGACGCTTCATTGCCTTGTGGTTTAGGTTGAAGTCTCCTGATGTGGCCCCCTAAGAAAACAACCTGCTTCGGTTTGAGCACCCGGGCAGTATCACAGCCCTCACAAATATCAAATGAGAGTTGTGTGGCGTATATGTATTTGGTGCCTCCTTGTACCAATATCTATATGTTAAAATAAATAAATATATAAAATAACGTATTTAACTTATTCTTGAAACATCTTATTGATTCCCTTGTCCAACACATGTTTACTTTCCATGTTGTTTAGCAGGTCTTATTATAAAAAGTAACCCGGTATGATGATAACCCTGTTTAGTCAAGTACACTCATGATAATTTTGGACAGAAGTGGTACTAACAGGAACCGCTAGAATACTTTCTGATTTCTTTTTAAATAGTACTCCAATCTCAAGTGTTCACGCAAGACGTTCAGAATATAGGCTTTTTTCATGTTTTTTCAAATAAAACTTATCTATCTACTCCAAATAGATTAAAGGGTTTTCAAGTGGGAAATCTATCCTTTTCAAAATCAGGTAAAAGTCAGATCCAGGCGCCCGACCGAAGATGCTACCTTGACGCGGTGGTCGGGCTTGCCTATCGTGATGACCCAACCGAGCTATATTGGCTGGAACATATGTTCCTGTAGGTTCTACCATGCCAGGCAGGTCGATTGGAGGACGGTAAGACTAAAAGCGACTCAAGGTCTGAGGGCGAAGTCGTACTGCTGACTGTAGAGGGGTGTAACAGCAGTAAGGTGTTTCCCCCGGACAACCAGCACCTGCAGCGATGCTGCCTTCCCACAAGGAGGGGTGGGGTTACAAAAGTTTGACCCTAAAAATGTCACACCTCACCTTGGCTCACGGATTTCCGTCTCCAGCGGTAAGGCCCTTTGAAGAACGGAGCTAACATTAAAAACCTTCCACGAAAAGGCCGTGCGCAGATGACATAGTTCTGTTTGGTGAAGACTCGGACAAAATGCAGAGTCTTTTGGTAGCACTAAGCAACAATGCCAGAATGTTTGGAATGCGCTTCTCTCCCTCTAAATGCAAGTTGTTGCTTCAAGACTGACCTGCGTCAACACCTGAACTAAGGATAGGGAGTGAAGTAGTCGAACGCTTCGACAAATTCACTTATCTTGGAAGTCTGAGCAGCCCTAATGGGTTGGTGTCTGACGACATTTTCTGCACGGTTCTCGCTTGGCTTTTGCCAACTTACGTCACCTATGGCAAAGGCGAGATATCCGTCTATCAATAAAAGGACGAGTATACTGCGCGTCAGTCCGTTCTGTTCTACTTGACGGCTGCGAAACATGGCCATTAAGAGTGGAAGACACTCGTAAGCTACTATTATTTGACCACAGATGCCTTAGAAATATTGCTAGCGTCTGTTGGGATCACCGGGTAAGTAATAGTGAGGTTAGACGCAGGGTATTAGTTAATGATGATAAATCAGTTGATGAGGTTATGAATCTTCATCGACTGAGATGGTTGGGCCACGTGTTACGTATGCCTGAACACCGATTACCACGTCGTGTAATGCTAACGGGTGTTAGAGATGGTTGGAAGAGAATTAGGGGCGGCCAAATCCAAACGTAGCATCAGTGCTTGAAGACACTAACCTCTAGTCTGAGCCATGTTGGTAGATGCAGGCTACTTGGTTGGGGTCCGCGTGACTTTCGTAACCGATGGTTGGAGACTCTAGGTGACATGGCTCAGAATCGATCACAATGGCGTAGGTGTATACAATCCCTGTCTTCCTTTAAACTAAGAGATTAAAATCGCTTCATATCTTTCTTTCTACGAACTAATTCTTTCTTCCTGTACTATGTCGTTATATGCAATCTTTCTTTTATATATTACCACCTCTGAATTAACTACTTTTATGAATCCGGTATCCATCTTGTTGTGTTAATGAGGTATGGCAACCTGGACCGATGCATATATGTGCCTGGTCCTACGTTGTAGCTGACTGACTGACTGAGACTTAATTAATGTAGCTTAATCCGATCGTGTTAAGAGATATGACTTCAGGGTTAAAGCATGTGGCTTCCAAATAATATTTTGGGAGATCAAACGCCAATCTGCGTTCCTTATTTTTGGTTGCCAAGTAAAATCACCAACCTTCATTGTTTCAAAAGTAAGTATGGGTAGTTGGCAGAAGGGTCCTACTACCCTCATTATTATTTAAAATATAATTACAAGTGCGTTCCAGTTTATCCATGTCCCAAATCTTCTTACAAAGTAAATATTCGGCTGGTACTTTGTTAGAGTGTTAGACTTGTAGATTACTAGCGTAGATGGTCTGTGTCATATGATTGGGGGCCTACTCGAGTTAGACGCGAATGGTGTGGACATCTAGCTAAAGTCGAAGTCACACCTCACGATTAGTGCCTAACATGGCTTACCCTTTCGTATCCAGGTTCTGTCTACTTTGGTGACCATACAACACAAACGACGTTGTTACAGAAATATATTAGTACGAGTAGGTTCAAGAAGCAAAGTGCGACCACTGCTTCATGGATCAGTCCATGGCGTGCAATTAACTGGTGCGTGTTGGTTGCCCTTGACAAGAATCAGTGAATTGTTCGACATTCAGTGACCCGACAATCGGATGATTTGGCTAGGATACTGACATTTCGCTGGCCCTACAGAATTTCTCGGGTTCACTATTCCCGAACTACAGTGAAACACCAAAGATCTATAAGAACGAAAACCTCACGAACAATGTTAATCACAATGATTCTAATGTAAGTGTATTAAGAGAATTTATGGTTTATTTTAATGAATAGTCAACCACTTTTCGTGTTTTTCCAGTTTGTCATATATATTTCGCTCCCTTATCATCTCGCTTATACCACCAACCACTCGTTTGTTTTATCTATTGTTTAGTCATTTCCCATTCTATGTGAGACATGCTTAGGACCAAGTCCCTTCGTTCGAATGATGAAAGAGAAATATGGCAAGGAGTGTAAAATTTGTGACCGTCCTTTCACTGTATTTCGTTGGTGCCCTGGTCCCAAAGCCAGATTCAAAAAGACTGAAGTCTGTCAGAGCTGTGCAAAGATCAAAAATGTTTGCCAGACCTGTTTGTTCGACCTCGAATACGGTCTTCCTGTTGAAGTCCGTGATAAAGCACTTCGTTTATCACAACAATTGCCGAAAAATGATGTTAATCGAGAATATTTCCACCAGCAAATTGAACAGAACCTTGAAGTGGAAGGTGACATAACAGCTCCATATGGAGGAAATCAGCTAATTGGAAAAGCTATTTCAAACACAGCATCGGCAAGCAGTTCTAGCGGTGGTGGAGGCACAGATTTACTTTTAAAGTTAGCCCGTACTGCACCGTATTATCGTAGAAATCGCCCACACATATGCTCCTTTTGGGTGAAAGGTGAATGTAGGAGAGGAGAAGAATGTCCATATAGGCATGAAAAGCCTACCGATCCTGATGATCCTCTTTCTGACCAGAATCTAAGAGATCGTTACTACGGTCACGATGATCCAGTGGCAGCCAAACTGCTGTCGAAATATGACACAATGCCTAAACTTATTCCTCCTGAGGATCGTACAATAACCACACTATATATTGGGGGTATTCCTGATGGAATGACTGAAAAAGACCTTCGCAATCATTTTTACCAGTTTGGAGAGCTGCGTTCTGTTAATCTCCATGCCAAACAACATTGTGCTTTTATACAGTTCGCAACTAGAGGTGCTGCTGAACGTGCGGCTGAGCGGACTTATGACCGATTAATTTTGGGTGGTCATAGACTAACAGTCAATTGGGGGAAATCACCAGCAGCTTTGGCGGCTGCCAACTCTCACTCATCAACAGAAGCTGGTGATATAAGTCTACCTCCTGTTCCTGGTTTGCCTTTGCCACCTGTTTTACCGCCTACCAACTTACTAAATAAAGCTATGACTATCGGTCTTAGCGGGAATTTCTTTATGACACCTCCACCACCGCCACCTCCCCCACCGCCTCCTACTACCAAGTCACTAATAAGTTCCAGTTCCGATCATGTGTCCAGTAGTAAGATGCCACTTATTCCACCTCCAATTCAACTTGCACCACCAGTTGCTGAACCACCACCTCCTGGAGGTAAGTAACAATGTTTAGTTAGTTGAACAAAGAGTATCGTAAATAAGTTTTTGGTTCTGCTATTTATTTTCTGCTACATAGCTTGATGGATTAGTCACCAAGTGAACTGTTTTTTTGTAAGCTTGACAGATTTCCCAAATTTTAAATCAACCTGTGAACCATGATACGACCAATAATGATAAGCAATGAACTGCAATTATGATAATTTTCAGTTTGCCAGTTAGTCTAATTAGACGAGTTCGAGCAACCTTCTGTTAGTGACATAAATGCAAGCTTTGATTGTTTGATTCTATTTCCGAAACGATTGACGTTCTAATTGGCAATTTTTAGAATTTCAAGCCAGCCAAATATATACTACAAGACTGATGCTCAGAATTAATACATTCGAAGGGTTAATAAATTGGCTGGCTAAACTGGAAGTTTACCTCCATCCCTACAAACTCCCGATGCCACTCGTGAAGAAGCATATTTCGCCCACCAGCATCCTCCATCAAAGTATCCTGGGCAATCCTTTCCAGTTGCTGATCATTCTTTTCATGTAGTTTCATCCTGTTTGAGTACATCTTGTAAGGCTTAGAACCCGTTATTGAGAGCTGTCTTGAATTCGTTGAGTTTATCAGCATCTTGAAGGAAGGCTGTGTTAAAATTTTGTAATGTTGTTTCTCCAGTTGTCCAGTGTTTCTTTAGCATCAGTTTCATCTTGGCAAACACCAAGCGGTGATCTGAAGCTATGTCAGCTCCTCTCTTTGTTCCTACGTCTTCCATGGGTCTTCTGGAAATTTTAGTGACCCAAATATGATCGGTCGGGTTCTCTGTAGTGTGATTCGATGAGACCCATTTAGCTTTGTGTATGCGTTTGTGGGGGAGTACAATGTAGTGAACGAGAAAACAAGTGGAGACCACCAAATGTATTTCAACACAAAATTACAGGATCTCTTAGTAAAATCTGATAACCATACCGTAAATACTTCATTTGCAAAATATCAATCAATCGTCTCAAACTTGACTGTTCCTTCTGCAAATGTCAATCAATCGTCTCAGACTTCACTGTTCCTTCGATTCCACAGCAACCATTCTTTGTTCTCTTTTCTTTGATCTTCTTAACCTTCTGCCTCCAGGCATTTCACTTTCGATTAGTTACATACTACTTATGTCTGTCGAGGTCACTAGCACACAAAAATAGTACTGCTTATAACGATTTTGTCAAATGCACATAAATGTGCAAATATCTCATCATTCCCGTTTCTTTTCTCCCAGTTAGTTCATGTCATCCCATGATATCTTCACACCCGGTGTTCTTTATCCCAACTTTGGCGAGATCGTCAGGTCCTTTGCTGGGCACTTTTCTACGATCGACTGCAGCCTCTCGTCAAACTTGTCTTTATCACCTTCGTTGCTATCATTGGTGGGCCCACAGCACTGGATAACATTCATTATGTTCCTCTTCTTCTTTGTCTTGAAGGATGCTTTGACGGTCCTGGATCCATGAGATTCCCGTCCTATAAGTAATTATAATGCTTCTCTGGACAGAATCAGTGCAACTGCTTGTATGTGCAAAGGATTTTCTACATGACTAGAGTATAACAGTATCTCTCCCGAATCTAATCTTTTCTATCCAGCTTGGTTCCAATGGATTTCACTCATTCTGAGCAACATCAACTTGTATCTCCTTATTTCGGCGGCTATTTCACTGGTCCTTCCAGTCTCTCATATTGTCCGTGAATTCCATGTACCTATATTAATTGTTGTTGGAAGAGCTATCGACCTTGAGACTTCTGATGAATCTCGGTTTTCACCATGAGGCGTTATCATTCTTCTAAATGAAGATCCTTTAACTTCCAGGACAGGGTTTGAATGGCTTAAGTTGTTTTTTCTGGCTTAGTTTTTATAGCACGGTTGCTGACCCCATACATAACCCTCCTCATTTATCCGAGTTTGAAATATGCAGTTGACCCTAGAGGGCCTCAAACGTAGTTAAATTGGGTGTTTACTGATCTAATTTTCTCACCGACTTTGTTTGACTTTCTATGCTTCAAAGGTATTTTCCAATCCACTATCACTAAATATTTGCTCAAATTAACTGTTTCCCTGTTGACTGTATGGTACTCGGATCAATGTAACTGTTTGCAGCCATAAAACGTCACTCTTCATAGTCTCTGGAACAAATAGTATTTGTAAATTTATCTTAGTTTCTGTCGAGATAATCTCTAATACCTGATTGCTTTTTTGGTGAAATTTAAAGCTCGCCATTTTAATGTTCTGGCAGTCTTTTCTTTACCGAAACAAACTTCTTCCTTTGGCGAATTATAAAACGATTGTTTATAGATAATTTGTACCTTCTAAGTAAAAACAAGTAGTAGAATAAATTGCTTCAAAATTCCAGATAAAAAAATCAGTATTTATTGCAGCTAGATTCTAGAAAGAAAACAGGCCAACTAACAAAAAACACTCCTCGATAAACGATATAAAATAATAAACTTCAAAAGATCCTTTAGAATTTATGTATATATCAGCTGAGTACTTATGACTTGAAGTTTATTTATAAGATAGTGTAAGATGTCTAGTTCATTAGTGTACTGCAAGACATTTCAAGTAATTGTATGCGACATTGCAAATGTGTCTCGCACTCGCCAGTCTATAGGATTTCAGTCCGTGCTTGTATGTGAACGGTTGTCTGGACACCTAGCGGTGGTAATGATAGATATACTTACCCCAAAATCAACATTTCATGTAGACTCTACTATGGATGACACCATTATTAGCTACCCAATTTCTAGATATTTTACATGTGTATTGGGTGTTATGTAATTAACCTCGATGTTACTTATTCCTCACTAAACCACTACCTATCATTTGCGGTTTTGTGATTAGTTTGTTGGGTTTACATGTATAATGTAATGATCAGTACATTCAATGTCTCTCGTTTTGTCTAAAACCATAAGTTTTCAGATAGAAGCGTTGTGAGAATTTCCCTTCTTCTATTCATGTAACTTGTGAATATTCTAATAAATATACTCATAAAATGTTATTAATAATCTCTGCCATTTATGTTCATCAACAGAAGTTTACGATAAACTATAAGTGACCTGTTTTCATCGCACGTTATATTTGATCCAGGAGTTACAGGGCAAATCCCTATAGTTTCTCTAAAGGATAAACAAAGAGAAAAATATACCAATCACTTTGGTGGTCCTGCTGTAATTCTGAAGAATTTAGCTTTGGTATGAGTTGATGAATTTTATATAGTATATGAGTATAATAAATAGTTAGTTAAAAGAAGTATAAAACACGAAAACGTACTACAACATTCGTACAGTTTGATAATGGATGTCCCGGAAGTTTGAAAAAAACCTGTTTGTTCTATTCAAAAGTCTTTGGTCTAAAAGATAACATTAAAATACTTACAATACCGTAAACTGCCTACCATTTAATCTCTTCTGACATAACTTCTCCATAGTTTATTGTCTTCCATATTCTCAGCGTACCTTAGTTATTGTGTAAAATACAAAAATCGGACCCATCATTGTGTAATGTTCGAAGTAAATTTCTTTAATCAACTGTGTGTATGATTTTATTATTGTTGTTTCTAGAATTGTTCTTACGAGGTCCACCGCCTCCACCTTTGCCTCATTTCACCGTACGTCCAAGTTTATTACGAAACCCTCCACCATTAGCACCTCCTGCCCTACGCGATTCAAGCTCATCGTCTTTGTTGCCTATGCCTCCCCCTCCGCCACCGCCGCCGCCTCCACCTCCTCTTAAGTCACAACTCAGCACAACAATGACTTCAACATTGAATGAATCAAAGGCTAGTAAAAACACACCAGCTGATGATGATCAATTGGGTATTCATTATCCAAGCCAAAATCCTCAACGGTTGGGTAGTGTACCACACACTGAACAACATGATTGAAAATGTATACTTTTTGTTGAATATAAATCATCTGTCTTTTATAACCACTCAAAGTCTTATTTTATATATTGTATTGGGATTAATGGTCATTTTTTAGTATGTGATCTAACTTGCTTCGTCAGGTTTGCGGGTAAAAATACATTTGTCTGTACTACATAAACTTTCTCACGTAGATTTTTGATCCAATTTTCGTAATTAATTCAAAAACTAACTTTATATTTGAGTAGTCGGCGCTTATCTGTGCCTTTTTATGGGAACTTGTTTCAATAATCAAATCCTTTAATCGGACTGAAGTGGGTTAATTTTCAGGCGTATAAACGTATTGCAGAACCCCAGCTACCTTAGCGGCTTAGTCATTCTTCAACATCTGCCATATCCGTCATATATTCGTGACTGGTTGAATCTAAACTTTATTAGTGTAGTTTAGGATTGCGTATAGCAAACGTTGGACCCTATATGAAATAATTTTCACAAAGTTGAATATTATTTATTTAAACATAAACATTCTCAAAAAGGGACACCAATATGTATATGCGTTATACAAAGTAGTTATCAAATTTGTGTGTGGGGTCGCGCCACTGACCGAGTACCTAAACCAAAGCAGGTGGTTTTCTCAGAGGTCACTCCCCAAGGTTTTGACCAATGGCTCTAATCCACAAGGCAACAGAGTTGGGCGTCTAATGAATCTTTCATCAGGATCAGCAACAGACTGTCGAAAATGTTTCCTGGTACCGATAGTAGTGCGATGCATCCCGGGGAGGTATCATACTTCCCAGTCTTTCGGCACTTGTTAACATATTTGCATTTACTTCTATGTTTGGATTCAGTGCTTCAGCTGGTATATATATATATATATATATATATATATATATATATATATATATACGTACTAAAAATTCTTGCGTAGTTCCCTTGTACTATTTAAACATCTATTAATTTTGTCATTTATTCTCTAAAGAAGTGGCTTACACTAAGTAATGAAAATTCACAAAATCTAATTTTTCAACTTTGATAACTTCCCGGCTATCATACATAGCAGATTCATCCACTTTGAGTACATCTTGTAAGGCTTAGAACCCGTTATTGAGAGCTGTCTTGAATTCGTTGAGTTTATCAGCATCTTGAAGGAAGGCTGTGTTAAAATTTTGTAATGTTGTTTCTCCAGTTGTCCAGTGTTTCTTTAGCATCAGTTTCATCTTGGCAAACACCAAGCGGTGATCTGAAGCTATGTCAGCTCCTCTCTTTGTTCCTACGTCTTCCATGGGTCTTCTGGAAATTTTAGTGACCCAAATATGATCGGTCGGGTTCTCTGTAGTGTGATTCGATGAGACCCATTTAGCTTTGTGTATGCGTTTGTGGGGGAGTACAATGTAGTGAACGAGAAAACAAGTGGAGACCACCAAATGTATTTCAACACAAAATTACAGGATCTCTTAGTAAAATCTGATAACCATACCGTAAATACTTCATTTGCAAAATATCAATCAATCGTCTCAAACTTGACTGTTCCTTCTGCAAATGTCAATCAATCGTCTCAGACTTCACTGTTCCTTCGATTCCACAGCAACCATTCTTTGTTCTCTTTTCTTTGATCTTCTTAACCTTCTGCCTCCAGGCATTTCACTTTCGATTAGTTACATACTACTTATGTCTGTCGAGGTCACTAGCACACAAAAATAGTACTGCTTATAACGATTTTGTCAAATGCACATAAATGTGCAAATATCTCATCATTCCCGTTTCTTTTCTCCCAGTTAGTTCATGTCATCCCATGATATCTTCACACCCGGTGTTCTTTATCCCAACTTTGGCGAGATCGTCAGGTCCTTTGCTGGGCACTTTTCTACGATCGACTGCAGCCTCACGTCAAACTTGTCTTTATCACCTTCGTTGCTATCATTGGTGGGCCCACAGCACTGGATAACATTCATTATGTTCCTCTTCTTCTTTGTCTTGAAGGATGCTTTGACGGTCCTGGATCCATGAGATTCCCGTCCTATAAGTAATTATAATGCTTCTCTGGACAGAATCAGTGCAACTGCTTGTATGTGCAAAGGATTTTCTACATGACTAGAGTATAACAGTATCTCTCCCGAATCTAATCTTTTCTATCCAGCTTGGTTCCAATGGATTTCACTCATTCTGAGCAACATCAACTTGTATCTCCTTATTTCGGCGGCTATTTCACTGGTCCTTCCAGTCTCTCATATTGTCCGTGAATTCCATGTACCTATATTAATTGTTGTTGGAAGAGCTATCGACCTTGAGACTTCTGATGAATCTCGGTTTTCACCATGAGGCGTTATCATTCTTCTAAATGAAGATCCTTTAACTTCCAGGACAGGGTTTGAATGGCTTAAATTGTTTTTTCTGGCTTAGTTTTTATAGCACGGTTGCTGACCCCATACATAACCCTCCTCATTTATCCGAGTTTGAAATATGCAGTTGACCCTAGAGGGCCTCAAACGTAGTTAAATTGGGTGTTTACTGATCTAATTTTCTCACCGACTTTGTTTGACTTTCTATGCTTCAAAGGTATTTTCCAATCCACTATCACTAAATATTTGCTCAAATTAACTGTTTCCCTGTTGACTGTATGGTACTCGGATCAATGTAACTGTTTGCAGCCATAAAACGTCACTCTTCATAGTCTCTGGAACAAATAGTATTTGTAAATTTATCTTAGTTTCTGTCGAGATAATCTCTAATACCTGATTGCTTTTTTGGTGAAATTTAAAGCTCGCCATTTTAATGTTCTGGCAGTCTTTTCTTTACCGAAACAAACTTCTTCCTTTGGCGAATTATAAAACGATTGTTTATAGATAATTTGTACCTTCTAAGTAAAAACAAGTAGTAGAATAAATTGCTTCAAAATTCCAGATAAAAAAATCAGTATTTATTGCAGCTAGATTCTAGAAAGAAAACAGGCCAACTAACAAAAAACACTCCTCGATAAACGATATAAAATAATAAACTTCAAAAGATCCTTTAGAATTTATGTATATATCAGCTGAGTACTTATGACTTGAAGTTTATTTATAAGATAGTGTAAGATGTCTAGTTCATTAGTGTACTGCAAGACATTTCAAGTAATTGTATGCGACATTGCAAATGTGTCTCGCACTCGCCAGTCTATAGGATTTCAGTCCGTGCTTGTATGTGAACGGTTGTCTGGACACCTAGCGGTGGTAATGATAGATATACTTACCCCAAAATCAACATTTCATGTAGACTCTACTATGGATGACACCATTATTAGCTACCCAATTTCTAGATATTTTACATGTGTATTGGGTGTTATGTAATTAACCTCGATGTTACTTATTCCTCACTAAACCACTACCTATCATTTGCGGTTTTGTGATTAGTTTGTTGGGTTTACATGTATAATGTAATGATCAGTACATTCAATGTCTCTCGTTTTGTCTAAAACCATAAGTTTTCAGATAGAAGCGTTGTGAGAATTTCCCTTCTTCTATTCATGTAACTTGTGAATATTCTAATAAATATACTCATAAAATGTTATTAATAATCTCTGCCATTTATGTTCATCAACAGAAGTTTACGATAAACTATAAGTGACCTGTTTTCATCGCACGTTATATTTGATCCAGGAGTTACAGGGCAAATCCCTATAGTTTCTCTAAAGGATAAACAAAGAGAAAAATATACCAATCACTTTGGTGGTCCTGCTGTAATTCTGAAGAATTTAGCTTTGGTATGAGTTGATGAATTTTATATAGTATATGAGTATAATAAATAGTTAGTTAAAAGAAGTATAAAACACGAAAACGTACTACAACATTCGTACAGTTTGATAATGGATGTCCCGGAAGTTTGAAAAAAACCTGTTTGTTCTATTCAAAAGTCTTTGGTCTAAAAGATAACATTAAAATACTTACAATACCGTAAACTGCCTACCATTTAATCTCTTCTGACATAACTTCTCCATAGTTTATTGTCTTCCATATTCTCAGCGTACCTTAGTTATTGTGTAAAATACAAAAATCGGACCCATCATTGTGTAATGTTCGAAGTAAATTTCTTTAATCAACTGTGTGTATGATTTTATTATTGTTGTTTCTAGAATTGTTCTTACGAGGTCCACCGCCTCCACCTTTGCCTCATTTCACCGTACGTCCAAGTTTATTACGAAACCCTCCACCATTAGCACCTCCTGCCCTACGCGATTCAAGCTCATCGTCTTTGTTGCCTATGCCTCCCCCTCCGCCACCGCCGCCGCCTCCACCTCCTCTTAAGTCACAACTCAGCACAACAATGACTTCAACATTGAATGAATCAAAGGCTAGTAAAAACACACCAGCTGATGATGATCAATTGGGTATTCATTATCCAAGCCAAAATCCTCAACGGTTGGGTAGTGTACCACACACTGAACAACATGATTGAAAATGTATACTTTTTGTTGAATATAAATCATCTGTCTTTTATAACCACTCAAAGTCTTATTTTATATATTGTATTGGGATTAATGGTCATTTTTTAGTATGTGATCTAACTTGCTTCGTCAGGTTTGCGGGTAAAAATACATTTGTCTGTACTACATAAACTTTCTCACGTAGATTTTTGATCCAATTTTCGTAATTAATTCAAAAACTAACTTTATATTTGAGTAGTCGGCGCTTATCTGTGCCTTTTTATGGGAACTTGTTTCAATAATCAAATCCTTTAATCGGACTGAAGTGGGTTAATTTTCAGGCGTATAAACGTATTGCAGAACCCCAGCTACCTTAGCGGCTTAGTCATTCTTCAACATCTGCCATATCCGTCATATATTCGTGACTGGTTGAATCTAAACTTTATTAGTGTAGTTTAGGATTGCGTATAGCAAACGTTGGACCCTATATGAAATAATTTTCACAAAGTTGAATATTATTTATTTAAACATAAACATTCTCAAAAAGGGACACCAATATGTATATGCGTTATACAAAGTAGTTATCAAATTTGTGTGTGGGGTCGCGCCACTGACCGAGTACCTAAACCAAAGCAGGTGGTTTTCTCAGAGGTCACTCCCCAAGGTTTTGACCAATGGCTCTAATCCACAAGGCAACAGAGTTGGGCGTCTAATGAATCTTTCATCAGGATCAGCAACAGACTGTCGAAAATGTTTCCTGGTACCGATAGTAGTGCGATGCATCCCGGGGAGGTATCATACTTCCCAGTCTTTCGGCACTTGTTAACATATTTGCATTTACTTCTATGTTTGGATTCAGTGCTTCAGCTGGTATATATATATATATATATATATATATATATATATATATATATATATATATATATATATATATACGTACTAAAAATTCTTGCGTAGTTCCCTTGTACTATTTAAACATCTATTAATTTTGTCATTTATTCTCTAAAGAAGTGGCTTACACTAAGTAATGAAAATTCACAAAATCTAATTTTTCAACTTTGATAACTTCCCGGCTATCATACATAGCAGATTCATCCACTTTGAGTACATCTTGTAAGGCTTAGAACCCGTTATTGAGAGCTGTCTTGAATTCGTTGAGTTTATCAGCATCTTGAAGGAAGGCTGTGTTAAAATTTTGTAATGTTGTTTCTCCAGTTGTCCAGTGTTTCCTTAGCATCAGTTTCATCTTGGCAAACACCAAGCGGTGATCTGAAGCTATGTCAGCTCCTCTCTTTGTTCCTACGTCTTCCATGGGTCTTCTGGAAATTTTAGTGACCCAAATATGATCGGTCGGGTTCTCTGTAGTGTGATTCGATGAGACCCATTTAGCTTTGTGTATGCGTTTGTGGGGGAGTACAATGTAGTGAACGAGAAAACAAGTGGAGACCAC